AAAAGTGATAAAAAAGTGGAAACAGGTATTCACATGTATCAAGGTACTCATTCATGGACAAAAAGCGCTAGCGCTATTTCTGCATTCAGAGCCAAAGTCTTCTCCATTGAAAAATTCTCAATTTCTTTTAACAAGAACCAGCTTGCTAGGAGAAGAAGAATTCAAATTCAAGTAGAAATAAATACCTTATCTAAATTCTTCTCCATTAACCGCAAACTTTCCAAAAAACTAGCACTTACATCTTCACATTCAGGCAGAGATTTTTATTTTTAAATTCCAATTTAAAATGGATTAACTAAATCAGCACGAAAGACTGTAAGGACATTTACGCTGTGAACATCTGATTAATGAAATTTTAATTTAACTTGATTAGGAACAGTTGCAAGATAAACAGAAATTAATTCTGTTCACTGAAACGGAACATTTGTCCTGGGTTTGCACAATGCAGGCACTAAAGTTCTGAGGCTTCCATTGGTCCAAAACACTGTAGACAGCTATTACCATGAAAAAGTTAATCAGAAAATTGATTTTTGTCCTCAAAGTGCAATTATTTAGTAATTTTTATGGTAGAGCTAGTAAACACTATGAATTCTTTTTTGCTAGAACAATCAAAAATTTTATATCGGCACCTAGCAGGACACTAAGAATTCCATGAAATAAATACTGGCTTCACAGCCCTGCATGAACACTTCCTTCTATTCAAACTTCAGCTAAAGACATCATATAGGAATACCCAGGAGTCATTTCTCCTATGTGGGAGTACTTGTTCATTAGTATTTAAACAGTCTAAGATCTCACCAAATTAATTTGGACTGAGGTAGATTTATAAATGTAAAATAGTAGCTCTTCCAGAATAACTCCCTAAAGGAATTTTTTTAAATTCCACAGTTAGGAATGTCTCCCTCTGTTTACCTTAATGCAGTTTGGAATAAGACGTCTATCTTCTCATATCCCAGAAAAAGAGCCCAAATACACAGCTTATAGGTCACATATTTAACTCAAGAGCAGACAGCTCCCAGCAAACAGAAGAGAACAAGATACCCTCCTCACTTCTCAGTTTTAGATGAACAACTTTTAAAACTCAGTTTCTTTCCTTTAACATTCAGATGTGCTGCCAGAGAGCTCTTCAATTACTGACAGAACAAGACCATTACTAAAGGAGGAGAGTCGCAAGTAAGAAGTGTAAGAAGGTGACTTCTGGTCTGTAATCCAAGTTCTGTTAGTCATCTCTTTAAAGTTCAGCAGACCTTTTTTGGAATGTCTGTAATGAAAATATTGCAGATGTACAGTGAGGTATATAAAGTTTCCAGCCTTTAACTATGAAACATAAAGCAGAATTTATTAATTGTAAGTATGACCGGAGAAAGGCAAAGTAAATTGCTTTCCAAAAACTAAGCCGTCTTATTTTACCTTGTTGTCTCAGTAGCAAAACCCAAATAAATTTGAATTAAATCAAATCTTACAGAAAGCCAGCATAACAATGAGAATTAAACAAAAAACCAGAAGACAGAGAAGTTGATTTTCAAGGCTGGTTCATTCCAGTAGTTCAACTATTGAAAAATGTGTTTTCATTTCACTTTGAAAATACCTGAACTGAGATTCCAGCTTTCTACAAACTTCTAATTCTTGTTATGCTTTTCTCTACCAAACAATCCTATAATACTTTTTCCACCTCTGGTAAGTAACTGCCCACTTTAAATCACTTAATCTCTCTGTTTTCTTCCTGATAAGCTACCTACTTTGAGCTCTTTTAAGACAAGATATTTAATTCAGCATTTCCATTGAGAGATAGGACCAAAAAAATCAAAGTTCTTAAGAAGCAGGACCAGCACAATAAACAGTATCAAACTCGCCAATAACAAACACACAGATTAAAATCATCTGCCCAGTCACAAAGTCAACTCTGTAAACCTCAACAGGGGGTAGAGAGTCCTGCTGCATTGTTTTCCTCCTTTCCAACTCCTTTCCAGGCCCAGTGCTTCCCAGGCTATCACTGTCTTTTCACAGTCAGTTTCAGATTTGTAACTTGACATCTGGCTGTATTAAGGATGGAACTGATCCGATCGCTGCAATTCCCTGACTGTCACCATAGCTGCTGCCTCCCGTTGTTTATCATTGCACTAATCTTTGGGTTTTCAAAGTTTGTTTTCAAAGCTTATTTTCAAATAATTGATAAGCAGCTAAATAGTACCAGTCCTACTTTTAATCTCTTCAGGAACCCATTCCAACTCTATCCACCCCGCAGAAACGCCACAAGCTTACTGCTTTTGGCGTGCCATGAATCCACTATTTATTATTCCAGATTCTTGCCGCTCAGTCTCATCTGCCCATGGAACAGCACATACCTACACTGAGGCCTATCAGGCTTAATCAGCGTGAGCAGGGGGAAGGTGCATCTCTGTCTATTCTCCCTGCACAGAATAATACAATTTAAAGATCACAGGAGCTTTAGCTTAGTGCAAGCAACTAAGCAGAGAGGTAGTAATAGCACCTCTGAGTGCTTGCATGCTCTTCTTTGGTTCATTTAATACTGGACAGATTTTCACGAAAGAGCGAGAACAGCATGAGATAGCTGTTAATATATGCTAATTGTACAAGTGTGTCCAGTAGTCTGATAAAAGCGGAATGTTTACAAACGTCTCAATGTGCTGCTGAAAAAAAGAAAAATCTAAAAACTAACAAGCCTGCCTGTGTTAAGTATTCAGGTCCAGAGCGATCTTCTTAACAGAAAACAGTCAGTTTTGAATTATTTGGCTCTTGTGTGATAAAGGATTTCTGGGAAAGACAAACAGAGGTGAAGTTTGAACCTTTCATAAGCTGCCTACAAGAGCAAGCGACAGGATTATTACCTGTATTTCACGGAAGCTAAGAGGAACTCCCAAGAAGCTCATCCACCTTGCTGTGAGGGAAAGATCATCATCCTCTACCACGTTCCTTCTCCCTTGTTTCAATCTCCTTTGTAGCCAGTCTTAACTGCATACCCCCATAGGTCTGTACTCAAAGAACTGGTTTATGCCAAAAACGCCTAAGTATTAAATACATGAGTGAGAATTTAACGTTAATAAAAGATGTGACATAAAATTAGGAGACAGAAAAGATTCTATAGGTTTTAAAGTACTGAGAAGCACTGAAAAACATGAACACTGATAAGTTTTCTTAGTGCTTGGCAAAATAATGTCAACTATTGGGACCCCCAGGTACTCTCAGCTGCTTCTGAACACTAAAATTTATCAGCTATTTGAAAAAAAGTAAAACTTACCAGCTATATTGTGATAATATGCAGTTGCGGTTTTTGGCAAAGTAAGACAAAAAAACCCAAAATAGTTTAGTTAACCACTGTCCTTCATACACCACTGTTTAATTAATAATGGTCTTCAGAAGTAACAAGCAATGTAACTTTACCTAATATTCCAAAATGAAATATGCCCAAACCACAGGTTGCCCAAGGTCGATATCACAATACTGACTTCGGCCTTGCATTATACAGAGAAGTGTTAGTATATAAAACATACGCACAGCAAGTGTCCATCCCTTTCCATTTAGGCTTAAATATTTGGCACACAACACAATCACCACTTCATCAGAACATAAATTGGGAAGAAAACAAGTGTTCCCTATGGTCTTTTTAGCTTGAAACTTTAATTACTTAGCACGTGAAATGAATTATGATTAAAATCATGCAGATATTTAGATTACAAAACAAAATACTTCAAATACAATTGCATGTTTAAAATTTACTCAGTCAAATATCTACTTTGAGGTAAAAATGTAAGATTAATCAAATACACTGAGCAATTATAAGCTTAACATAAATAAATATTGATATTTTCAGAATAAGATAATCAGTGAAAACATCATTTTTTAACACTTATATTGGTACAAGAGATACAGCCCACTTACTCTCTTTCAGAGTGTGATCCACTCATCTGATATAAAGCCACAAATACTATAAAACTGCATACTACCAAAGCACAGTGGCCAGTTCGCCCACAGCATAAGATTCCCACCCACATACTGCAGCATAGGGCCAAGTTATTTGAAAAAATATATAATTTCCAAGATTGAGGGGTTTAATTATACAGCTTCCAAACAAGTATAGTGAAAGCTGTACAACCAAATCCCCACTGAATATTACAAAATGCCTTTGGCCAAAATTCCAAATACAAACACCTGAAATCCAGGTCAAAATGACATGACCAATTAACATGTCTACTTTTGTGCATGCAAGTGACAGCATAAACAAGTTCTGTGTTTGTGCAGCTCAGTGTTTCTTTCGGTTGGGGTAATTTAAGTAACTGCTCATGTGAAGAATCAGGTAGCTGCACAGGGTTCAACTGCATATTCAGGTTCAAAGTGACCACAGGCCTACTCTCATGAAATCTAAATCACAGGATTTCTCCAGATGACAGTGGTCTCTTCCATTTCTCTAACTTGAAGAAGAAAAAAAAAACCCCCATACTTATTTTCACCACAAGTAGAACAACTAGAATACAAATGACAACAATCTATCATAGTCTGCAATAGCTGAGGTTTGCATCTCCTGAACTGATTCACTCATATGAGCAATGATACAGGGAAAATTACATAAAAACAAGAATATAAATATACTGCACCATGAAACACTACAAACAGAATATACAAAAATTATATTAGGTCATTAATTATCTGGCAACTTATTAAACAGAATACCTTAATATTAATACATCTTGGAAGGGAAACATAACCTACAGGCTACGTTTTCAAATGGCTGTTTGTCAATGCAGCATAAAACATTTCCATAGTGCAAATCTTACCAACTGTATGAAAGATACTGTCCCCTTCAGAAAAATGTTTCTCCCCACACCCCCCCCCAAAATAATGAGGAGTCATTTAATTTCACATTTAGTACAAGATGTGGTTTGAAACATATTAACATAGGGAAGCCTAATTTTAACACTGAAAAAAGGCTGAACAATGTTGAGAAATTAAAATTAAAAAGAGTTAGATATGCTATAGCTGGAAGACATGAAACCCAAAAATCTGATCTGTGGAAGTGGGGGAATAAAGAGACACTGATCTCTTCTTTTTTTCATCTGTTGGAAACATATTGTATGACAATACAGCACGCTCCCTATATTGTACCAACAACTGTAAGATTACTTTAATTGCTGAAGAATCACAGTGTTAAGTATGTCTGCTTCTTGTAGTGTCAGGCTTTCATCTGTTAACTCTTTATTTGGAAAGGTAGTCACAAGAACAAAATCAGTTGCTGCAAATGCTGGACGGGACTGGATAATGAAATCTCGAATATCCTTAATCCTGTGGAAAGGAGATGGACATGAAAATTGTGTATGATGTTCAGAGATTTATGTCAAAATGAAATTAAGATGATCAGAGAACACAAAACTTTCTAACAAACTAAATCATTTAATATGTCCTATTGATCTCACATTTCTATTTGATCCAGATGACTAATGGTTGTAGACTAGAATTTTTTGCTTCCTGAATAAAAAAACCTGAAAAATCAAAATGAATGTTGCTTGTTTTCTCAAATAACAGAAATAAAATTTGTAACATAGAAGTATATCGCAAACTGATACTTAACACAGAAAGTCACGTTATTCCAACACCAGCTGTCAAAAATTTCACTATTAATTAGTATATTCCAAAAAGGCTAAACTATTAATGGAAGGAGGAATCTTAAAAGATATGGTGACAGTAATGAAAAAGCAGAGGTGAATTATTAATGCACTTCAATAGCAACAGGTTTTCCCTACTTTCTGTTGGCATTGAACTTCTGAACAATAGTTCAGAAAACAATCACATCAACAGTATAACAAGAATAATTCAGTTTTAAGACACAAAAGAAAAATAAGTAAGATTTTAGAGATAAAAAACTGAAATTTGAGGTTTCTCTCCTAAGACAGTAAGCTGAGAATCAATCTTTGAAGATCTATTGGAACTAATAAGTAGGCAGATTTATTGTAGCCAAATAAGCAAGGACTTCAACCTTCTATCAGTCTGCCAGGCTTATGACCCAAGCAATGCACTTTAGCAGCTGACTTTGATCATACATATGGCAAGGATAACTAAAAGGATTCACATCCAAGAGAAAGTTAGTAACGATTAAATAAGCTTCTGTCAACACACCCTTGGTTACAGACATTACTGGGAAGTTTACCATTTCAACCCTTTCATGCCAACAGAAGACACATCATAGCTGCAGAGGCGCCCACAAAGCCCTGCTGTTTATCTAAGTCACTTCTCCAGCAGGTGCTGTGAAGAAAGGATCTGGGCCTGTACTATCAGTGTACATTATCAGGGCTGCTAAAATACGAAAAATTATTGCTGCATCTTCCTCTCTAGTGGCATCTCAGCTAAAATTGCCTCATTGTGGTCTGCGTGTGTTGTCAGGTGAAGAAAGCTGCATGTTGGCTCTGCCCTTATTCTGAGTAAAAAGGAAAAAAAAAAGGGAACAGGTGAACTCTCCATATAACAATATTAACATGGAATTGGGTCCATGCTAAGACCACCTCCAAGGCAGGATTCAAGCTCGGTTTCAGCTGTGTTCTAACACAATGGTGCAGATTTCAAATCAGGGCTGGCTTGAACCCTGCTTGTTGTGAAGCATGGGTGGAACTACTGTCCAAATCTCTGCCCTCTGCCCAAAGGTCTCTCAGCCACACAGTGCAAAGGAGAGCTTTGCAGAACCTTGTACTAACACAACTTCTGAGGCAAATAAATGAGGCTGGCCAACACCATTTGTGGCAATGCCCCAACAATGTCAACAAAACCAACGGCAAGCTCTGATCAGCAAACTACCAACAGATCTAAAAAACCCACCAAGTTCACACGCTGCCAATTCCTAGGAGGTGACCATACAAAACAAAACAAAGGTTGGTTCTCAGTACTATGTCCAGTCCACATGCCAGAATTGCAAATGAGCACGGCATGTCCATATACCCTTCTATGTATGGGCTGCAGTCTACACTTATAACCCATGTCACGCTTAGTCACAGTCTCACGTACAACAAAGCAGACAGTTGGAGCTCTTCATTATGGGCCAGAGGATTTCTCTGCCTGTAGTGTGGACTATATTCCAATTGAGACCATACTCCACATCTTGCAATAAAGTGTCTTCACAGTGTCATCAAGTCAGCCACGTGCTCCTCCCAAGAAGAGCCCAGGGTTGGATGACTACATAGCAAGGTTGTCCAAATTTCAGTTGTCCTAAGAACATTTATGGTTGGTACCGTGTCCTTACAAATCACAGGACATAATTGGTCATAAAAGTTTGTGACTTTGCAGTTGCCAAATACCTTGTGTTTCCAAGTACAGAATTTTGCTTTGACAGTCAGTTCATCAGTACATCTATGTTATGAAAATGACACAGAGCTATAGCATTTCAGTGGAGCTGTATTTCCCCCTTTTTGATGTCTTGCTGATATTCATTTAATGACAAAACACAAACTTATCAAAATAGTTATGGTTACCTGCATTGGTGCAGAATCAATTTACCTGTGTGTTTGATTAAATCTTTGTATTAATCGGCTTCCATCTGCTAATCTAATTTGAATTTTAGTTGCTGGCATGGAATCATCAATCAGAACAGGCGCGTTAAGAATGGATTTCTCCTCCTCCTCTGGGGAAGAAGGTGTGCTGACTATTTCAGGTGTAAGGCTAAAGGATCGGAAAAAAAAAACAACCCACAACAAACCAGATGTTACTAACGGAGTCAAACCAGAACTGAATCTTGTTTCAGTTGTCTTTTTCATTGAATGACTACCATGTATAGCTAGTACAAATGAGCAATGAAAATCCTCTCAAAGTTATCTGAATTAAGGATAAACACAGCTTTTCTAATAGAGACACAAATGCTTTTGTAGTTTGTCAATGACTGCAATATTTCATACTTATTTCTTATAACCGTGCATATCATTACATTTGCATGATTTTAAATAGGTAATAAGTACAAACAAAACTACCTTTGTTTATGCTTACAGAGCATGAAATGACGGTCTTCAATACAAAGATTTATATATTGTACCTCCTGGATTATATTAAAAAATAATCATGCACCATTATAGTGCACTAAACTGACCCAAACTGCTTTAGTAATTGCTTTCAGGAGCACTACTTTATGATTCTGGGCATCCTCTACCCTTTCAGAGCACAAATAATATTAACATGTACTTGACATCACCACGTAGTAAGTGTGGAATTTTTTTATATTTACTATGAAAATAATGTAAACCTGACAGGAGATAACCACTTGGCTGCTCCTTTCATTGCTTACATACTTGAGACTTCATAAGCTACTAAAGCAAACAAGAGTGCCACACAACAGGTGTGCACAATTTCTTATCTACAGAGCCTCCTCTCTTTCCCACCCATTTTCTTTAATAATCTGAGCAAGTGCTTAGGTGAAGAAGTTATTATATACAATTGCTCCCTATGTCGTCATCTCTACCAGTTGCTCAGTTTTACTGAGCATATTTCCTCCTTTTTAAAAAGATGAAATATCAATTAGAAAAAGTTAAGAATCATTTATTGAATTAAATTACTTGCAGAAGCACATCAGTAACACCTTTTTTTGGCAACCAAACATACTACATGAATAAATGCAATCATGAACAGAAACCTAGAAGCATTTACAATTCAACAGCTAATATCAAGTCAGGTGAAAAAGATGCTGTAAAGCCTATAATTGTTATGTGAAAAAGCTGATGATGGGCAGAGTTGAGGTCACATTACTGTTTACACTTACTGACCAACTTAAGCTGAATAGAGATTATGCACTTTTGGACAAAGTAGTCCGAAATGTTCAGTCACAGGAATGAATTTAGGCACATTACATATCAGTTCAATTGAATTATAGATGTTAGAGTTTTAACACCATCAGCGTACTCTTGCACCAGGACAGTAAATGAAACCGAACCAGGAGTAAGATTTTCTAAATCATTAAATTTTTTTTTTTTTTTAACTACATATATAAACTTTATACTGTAGTTGGAGATGACACTAGAATTAGAGGAAGTGGGGGGCTCCAATCACAGGTTAAAAGTTGAGCCCCTCCTCTCCCAAAACCCAGGCTTTGCAGTATTATTTCATCCAGGGGAGCATGTACAATTTCTCTGACTGCTTGCTTTTAAAAAAAGAAAAAGCTCCTACTATAGATTTTTGCAGCATCATTTGAAGTTTTAATCAAATACTAGTAAAAGTTGATATATTTTGGTATATTTTTGATATATTTTGCTCATTTATTTTGGATCACATTAAAAAAAAATTCATTTATCAAATTATTTCTCTTCCTTAAAGCTAACAGACTTGCCTTGTATAACTTCAAATGAGTGATCATTTACAAGGTTATATTTCAGGACAGTATGTCTGCTGCTTCATTCCAGAAAACAAATACGGGAGTGGCTCCCATACAGAAATACTTTCTATCCGCATTAAGTCAGGCATCAGCCATGTTGCTGCAATAGCATCTCCCATTCCCTTTGTGATGATCCCAGCAGTAAGAGACAACACGTACTGCAGTTAAGCCAGAGCACAGTGTATCCTTACTGGTCAGCATCACATTATAACTAAGTTCTGCCTGTTCCTCACTAAATGGGGAACAGTTTATTTGGGTCTGCTTCCTCTATCCAGAGATATTCTCATGAAGTTTGTACAGTCCTAATCACCTTTCAGCTTCCTTTGCTCCTGTTTCAAATACAGCTGAAGTTAAAAACAAACATTACAGGCAAACTTATATGCAAGAACAGGCTGAGAAATCTCATAGTCACAGCAAAGCATCTAGCAAATCTATGAGCAGTTCCAACAGAGGACTAAGACTTTTTTTTGAGATTACATATAAACTTTCATGTTTACTGGTGACTCTGAAATCAGGGCTGAGACTTGTGGCACAGAATAATTTTTATATTGCTTTTGTCATCTGATTACCTTCTCCAACAGTCTTTTAATTGATGAAATCCAGCTTTTGAAACAGCATATGAACAGAGAACAGAAAACCTAGAGTTTTTTACCTTCCAAGTTTTTGCCCTTCACCACTGAAAGCTTTGAATCGCAGTCTAGGCTTCACATATTCCTGTTCTTGGTGGTCTTCCATATCCAAATTAACTTGGCCACCATGAACAAGTCGCTGCAGTTCCACAGGAATTTCCCTTAATTACAAAAATAAAAGTTTCTCAATTACGTTCTGAACTGCAATATGAAATTACACAAAAACCTTACACAGTACAATGTGAGTTGGTACTATTAGTATGTTTACTTTAAAAGTCATAGATGTCCAATTGTTTTATGAATTGATTTCATCCTACAGGAAGAAAAAAAATCAGTGAGCTGACAGTCAAAACCTAGAACACATTAACAAAACATGCAACTAAGAGCCGTCTGTAGCCAGTAACATTCACAGTTAAACCACCAGAAGGAACCAGAGTGTTCCAAATTTTTAAATGTCCCATGCATCTGATGACAAATACAAAATACATTTTACGGGTGCAGACTGAGAAGCAGCCTGGAGCTTTTAATCATTACAAACATGTGGAGAAAGCATTTTTCTTCACTTCATTTGACAGACATACCACAAAAAACTTGCCATTTTAACTTACCCTCTTTTAACAGACTCAAGAAACTGAGCATTTGTTGGGTCTGAATAGGATCTCAACTCGCCATCATCTAAACTGAAGCCATTCCTCCACAGTTTCAGCAAAACTTGAACCTACAAAGCAAAAATGGTGAAATAAAAATAAGTGAAAACAGACACGTTATTTCAATTTCACACAGTTTAGTTACAGAAATTTTGATCAGATTTTGTAGCAGACAACAAACAAGAATGCAAATGACAAAAGAATAATGGAGCACTGCACTGTAACTATCATTGTTAGAATCCTTTAAAAATAGTTACAGACTACTATCTACTTCAAGACCACTTTTACACTTGGGGAAAAAGAATCTCTTCATCTGCTATCCATAACATATCAGATGATACAGTGATTGTGTAGTGATCTTCACATTGTTCCAATTACTTTCAAAACCAGTAAATGTTTCTTCTTGATAAATTAAGAAATAAATCCATAAAATTACAAATTACTGCTGATACATCAGTTACAGTGAAAACTACTCTTTCCTCAAATTACAACATGCTGAGCTCCAATAGAGTTGATACTAGCTCCATTCAGTTCAAATGCTGAGAATCCTGGAAACCAGCCTCCTTCATCCCCTTCTTATTTTGTTGTGCACCTGTATGTCCAGCCAGAGCCTTTCACCTTCAGAGCCTGCACCTTTCTTCCCTGCAACTACCTTGCAGTCCAGCACAACTAGGCTTCCCTAGCCAGTAAAACTGACCTTCCCTTAGAAAACTCTCCCTGTCCCCAGTTATGGTAATCCCACTGCAACAGGCTTCTGGCTCGGTACAGCTGGCTATTACTTAGAGGGTAGAAGGATTACTTGAGAGGGTTGAAGGCAGCAGCTCCTGGTGTGACATGATAGCACCGTCCAGCCTGAACCACATCCTTTGGCCTTACTCATTTCTTGGTTTTGTTTCTAGATAAGCTTAACATTTGCTGTAGCCACTCACACAAATGGCAAAGCATACAGAACTTTGGTTTTGCTACACCCTCTCCCTCACTTCCTGCTTTTTAAGTGAGAGGAAAGGCAGGGAGACAATTTTCAAAAGGCCTCTAGACTGCTGCTTCACCATCCCTAGAATACATCCATGCCCTCCAGTTTGAGATTGGCTACTTTGCAAGCCACAGAAAGAAACAACGCCTAAGCTAAGAAGATTAAAATGTTAGCATAGCTAATAGAACGCAGAACAACAGCTGGAGGAAAGTAACTGAAAGGAATGCCTGCTAAGAATGTCAAAGTAATTTACGTCAGAAAAATCCATAATGGAGGCCTTAGAGGTATCCAATGAATATCTGTTCTCTGTGGACACTTTCATTTCACCAATTCCTACTCAACACATATCTAGTATTTAGATATTAGTTTTTCCTCATAGACACAGTTACAGTAATATTGCTATTTCGAGCTGTAAATATGATTAAGCAGACATCTTTTGGAGATTCTGTTTCCTACCATTCAGAATTTTACTTACATCTTGATTTTCTCCATATATATATTCAGAGTGCTTTTGTGATGAGTCACCCAATCTATATCCACCACCAGAAAATGACTGGAAAAAAGATATATAGAAGAGCTTATTGAAATAAATATCTGAAACAGTTTATTAAAATTCTTACCTAGATGCAAATAAAAGCATCAGCAAGCTTGCTTCTGTGATAAAACGCAAATATACTGTTCCAACTTACATATTTTCTAAGTGGAAAATTACACCCAGTAACCATGATGAGGCCAAGCAGGTTTTATGTGATGCATTTCAGTGTCTAATCTGTGCACTTTTTCAAACATTAGAATCACAGAATAGTTTGGGTTGGAAGGGACCTTTAAAGGTCATCTTGTCCAACCCCCCTGCAATAAGCAGGGATATCTTCAACCAGATCAGGTTGCTCAGAGCGCCATCCAGCCTCCGCCTGAAGGTTTGTAGGGATGGGGCATCTGCCACCTCTCTGGGCAATCTGTGCCAGTGTTTCACCACCTTCATCCTAAAAAACTTCTTCCTTATATCTGGTCTGAGCGTATCCTCTTCTAGTTTAAAACCATTACCCCTTCTCCTATCACAAAAGGCCCTACTAGTTTGTCCCCATCTTCCTTATAAGCCCCCTTTGGGTACTGGAAGGTTGCTCTAAAGTCTTCCTGGAGCCTCCTCTTCTCCAGGCTGAACAACCCCAACTCTCTCAGCCTGTCCTCACAGCAGAGGTGCTCCAGCCCTCGGATCATCTTCTTGGCCTCCTCTGGACTCACTCCAACAGGTCTGTGTCCTTGTGCTGAGGACCCCAGAGCTGAAGGCAGTACTGCAGGGGGGGTCTCACCAGAGCAGAGCAGAGAGGCAGAATCCCCTCCCTCAACCTGCTGGTCACAATGCTTGGGATGCAGTCCAGGGTATGGTTGGCTTTCTGGGCTGCCTGCGCACTTTGTCAGCTCACGTCCAGTTTTTCATCCACCAACACCCCCAAGTCTTCCTCAGCAGCGTTGCCCTCAATCCCTTCACCCTCAGCCTGTATTGACACCAGGGGTTACCCCGAACCATGTGCAGGACCTTGCACTTGGCCTTGTTGAACCTCAGGAGGTTCACACAGGCCCACTTCTCAAGCTTGTCCAGGTCCCTCTGGATGGCATCCCTTCCCTTGGGCGTGTCAACCACTAGATTGGTGTCATCAGCAAACTTGCTGAGGGTGCAGTCAATCCCGCTATGTCACTGATGAAGATATTAAACAACACTGGTCCCAGTACAGACTCCTGAGGGACAGCACTTGTCACCTATCTCCATCTGGACATCCAGCTGTTGACCATGACCCTCTAGTAGTAATTCAAGTGATAAAAGATTTTGATTTGGGATACAACTGCAGTTTGGGGGTTGTTTTAAATCAATTTTAATTAAAAATAACGCAAATAATTCTAGTTTAGATTAGTTTTTAATGATTTCCCCTGAAATTGTGCTGTTCCTCCCCACTTTATTTTCTAGAGGAAGCTATTTGAGCTGTGTTGATCAAATCCTCTGGTATTCATAAACCACTAAAAGGCATATTTTGCTCTCATGTGGTTAGATGAGTTTCAGAAAGACTAATGTAAACAGAGATTAAAATATCTTTTAACTTTTACCTTAGCTTTACCGAAGTCACCAGATGCTCTTGTGGTTTCATCTAATGGGACAGCCCCATGTTCTCTTGCTTCCTTGAAGAGTTCAGCAACAATTTTACTTGGATTATTAGAAGCCCCAGAAATCTGTAATCCTCTATATTCCGAGTCACCTGAATAAAATCTTTAGAATAGTATTGTTCATAAGCAACAATGCTTTAAATGACAAGCATAATTTTCCTCTTCCCATCAAAAGACAAAAACTAATGAACAAAGACAAATTTGGCACAAAACCTTTTCACTCCAATCACAGAAACTTTCCACTTGGTTCCGACCTTCCCAGCAATCCAAGCAGTACTATTCCAAAGACATTTCACTAACAAAACTCCAAGGTGCCTTCTGGAACAGACCCCAGAGGTTAGGGCCCAAGGTCATACATTTAAGTGAACGCAGTCCTGATGCAGCCATGGCTTTATACACCTCATCTTATGGATGCTGCCTGCTACCAATAAGACCAACTTCCTCAGGGATGTCCTCTGCATGGGACTGTGCCTGGGCTGGTTAGAACACAGATTCACAACTAACTCTGCCTTGGCAGAACCAGCGTAAAACTGTCACTGGAAAACCTGAACAGTGCCATGATTTGATCTCTTGGTTTAAAGATCTAGTATACTTCCATTCCTGCCAATATCAGAAATGGGAAGTTTTTAATAAATTTAATTAACCTTTCAAAGCATTTTAAAATGTCCAGAAACCATTGTGAAAGCTAGTTTGTACTTTTTCTTCAACATATCCCCACTTCTAGCTCTTGAATATAAAAGGTTAACCTACAAATAATTCTGCTCAAAACTGTATCTGCTTGATTATGAAGATCATGATATTCTTTGAGAACTATCTTGAGGAAGGCACTAAAAATCTCTAAATAGCAATGGAATAGATGCTGTAAAAAAGTCTATATATGAATACAAAACCTGGCAAACTTGAGAGTTTTAATCTTTGATTACAAGAAGCGTTAATAACTAATAAAATAAGTGCTTTCTACTTTCCCTGTTTCACTTAACCACTTGGGGCAAGGCAAATCAATTAATCCATGTGAAAAAACTGTCTCTCAGGCCAATGTCTTCAAAATGCTGTTGATTCCACCATACAATTCTGCTTACAAACAAAATACTATTGATTCCATACAATTACCCGAACCCAGCAGTGGGTATGAAAGTGCTGTACAATCATACTGCTTTTTTGATGTCACATAACTGGCAATCCCTTAGTATCATCTCTCCTTTGTACATAAATCTGTATTTATTATCCCAAACTGCCATTTATATGGAAAATCTTTAATTATTAGATTTAAAAGAATTATAGCAGTAAGGAGATGAAACAAGGATTCTCATCAGAGTTTGTATTTAGAAAGAAAGGAAGTACTCAAATATTTGAGCAATGGACACATAGAACAACTCAGGATATTTGAGAAAAGGCAAAAAAGCTTTTGAGTCCAAGTGTAAGTTAGAAGCTTTACATCCATGCAGTCACAGGTTAAGGCATATACAGGTCCTACAGGACTGCAGTCAGATTCTGCTAAATATAGTTTTACTACAGCAGCATACAGCTAACACTTACTCTAACAAGTCACATAGTGTCTCCGTAGTTACTAGCTCTTTGCAGGATAGACTTAGCTGACACGCATTTTGAAAAACAGGGGGGAGCAAAGTATGAACATCACAAAACTTCCCAATTCCTGTCACAATTGTTAAATGATTTTTTGGTTTGTTTGTTTTAAAAATACCTTTGGTTTTCTTTGTCATCGCTCATGCTTCTCTCTGGTTTTCTCAGCCTTCTAAGCGAATCAACTTTAAGACTGCCAAGAGAAGAAAAGAAAATGTTTGAGTACGACTGGTGCATACACTTCACTAAGTACTTCATATCTAACTTCTGAAACTACTTATTTTTCAAAAACTAAGGATATCAAGTTGTTGGGCTTTTTTTGCTCTCACCATGTATTTTTTTGGCTGAAGTACATAGCCATCGATGCTTCTCAGTGAACAAGCAGGAAAGGGCATATGTATATAGCAGAGGCATTTTGCAGTAACAGTTGGACTAGAGGATCGTTGTAGGTCCCTTCCAACTGCACTATTCTTTTCTAGCATAGGTTATGCAGAATTCTGCTTTATGCCACTGGCAGTCCCACAGATAACACAGGTAATATGCAAGCTCAACAGCTGTTTCAGAATCCAGTTTACCAGAATTAATTACACTTCAAATTCTTTCCACCTTTTAGCTGTTTTTGTCAAGAGGTAAGTTGCCTAGTGAAGTCAACACTGGCTTTCTTTGATGTCCTGGATGATTTATGAGGATCCTAAAAACTAAAAAGTAGTAGTTCTTGCTTCTATTTCACACAATTTTAAAAATACATTGAATGGCAACATCTCAAAGACTTTCAAAAGATGATTAAAATCAGATTGTTTTATGATAGGGATACATCGATAAGCTACCACAGGACAAGCTAAGCTCGTTAGCTTGCAAAATGCCAGGAAAAGCTGTACAGATATATGCTCTTATCCTGTAGTACTCGATAAAATTCATTAATGCAAGACGTATATGAGGTAGCTGACTATCATGGGATAAGAACATACATACAATCTGCTACATGAGTAATGGCAGATCACTAGTTCAGATTTATGCAATTTGTCTGATTACTATACCTTTGAACTCAAAGCGTAGCAGAGCAGGCCATCGCTTTTTTAAGTATTAGTGTTGATGAAACAATGTAGCTCCATATCCCAGCAAAGGATCTCTTTCGTATTACTTTCTCAGACAAAAAAAAGTATTGTTATGGACTTCAGCCATGGGCACTAGAAATCGTTTAATCTCTTCTATTTTCTTCCTTTGTCATATTGTAGGTTTTATGGGACTTGTATTTTTGTGCCCATAGTCTTAAGTTTCTTACAGGAGCTCACATGACAGCATATATGATGTGGTGTTTGTTCCAGCAGGGCCCACAGACATCCTTCTATACCTGCAATCGTGGAAGGCAGGCCGAGTAGATGACCAAGAGCAGCACTATGTTCCCTTGCAATTAATACACCACTCATCTGAGAGCAAACTGAAGTCCACTAACAGAAAAATCTCATTTTGGATACCATGCAAATAGCAGCCATCTCTTCTTTCTCAGACAGATTCCAGTATGATCGCCAACAAAGAGCAAGTGTTTGCCAACAGCTACCATGCTGAAGTATTTGAGGTACTGTATTGCAGTTTTTCTTTCAGCTGGGGTGGGAAGTTGTAATTTCATGATATGTATCAGTGAATGGAGTTGTTCGCTTTATTTATTCAAAAACTGTGTTCTATGTAGCAGATTAGTCAACTTAAGTGGTTTCACCAAAACAAACAAAAAAAATGCACCAAAAGCGCTATTATTTTCTAAGTGTCCCATACTGCGCTAAAATCTCTCTTTCTGAGGATCTGCATTTGCAGATGCACTTGAAGCATGGCTCTGGTGACCAAGATCTTTTCTGCTGCTTAACCTCCTTTAAAACAGAGATCCATATTAGCAGCAGCGATTGAAGGACAAGCCAAATATAAGACCTGTTGTGGCATCTCTGATGGTAATGATGTAAATATTTCTCTTCTTTAAAACAATTTAAATAAAGATTAATTAAAAACTGGCAAGATTTCTTTATTAAAAATTTAAAACAACATTGAATCTTCAAATGCTATGTGAACTACAAACACTGCAGATCAGCAAAAGTTGGATTTAAACATAGATACAAGCCTTTCCTTCCACCTGCCAAACCCAGACAAATTCATTAAGAAGACCTTCTCATTTCCCTCAGCCCATAGGAGCCTACTAATGAACGTACTAATAATTTTTTCAAATTATTATTTGTCTCATCAGGTACTGACGTTAAATGCAACATTAAAGCAGCCCACTTGCCAAGTTTCACACAGACTACTGATTTGCTGAATTTTGAAGAACCAAAGAATTGCAGTATTTTTCTGACACAGCAGATTTCCAAATTCTATGTGTGTAAACAAAGAGCAACACTGCATTTCACTTACAGCACCTTAATCGTATCTTATCTGAAGTAGGTTTAAAGTGTTTTGGAATACCATAGCACAAATTTATTGTAAATAAACTCAATTTTAAAAGCACTCTGAGAAGACACAGACTACGCTTATTACAGGGATTCACAATTCCGGATTATGAACTGCTGTAGATCACTTTTTATACAAGGAGGAAATCAAGTAAGACAAAGTTTTGTGAGCTAACATAGTACCTATTCAACACATTTCTGAAGTACAAAGCATGTCTTACCTCTGTGATACTTTTGTATTACTGATCTTTGTAGTTGTTGGTTTGTCAGGACACAGTGACTGCCTTTTAGCTTCATCTTCGTATAATTCTGCCAAGGCCAACTGTAGGAAACAGAACTCTTTTTAGAAGTCTGTAACTCTAGAACTACATATGGAACAGAAATAAGACAAAAAATAATGCAAAATGTGCGCGTCACCAGAAAATTAGAAACGTCAAGAGGAGAAAGCCCAACTGCTTCTCTAAAGTCAACTTCCTTTCTGCTTTATGAAAAAAACCAAAAAACCACATGATGCTTAATGCCATTGTGACTTGGAACTTGTACTCTGCTGTAATTTGGTTCACACTGCTTCACTAGCTACATTCAGCCTGTATTAGGTTCAGAATCAGAAGAGTATATACACACGTATATGTTAAGCATCATTTCCTTAACGTTAACGAATTCAAATAAAGTTGCCAGGTAACCCTCTGATAAGACTGGGAAGCAAATAATAAATTTTACAAACATTTTACGTAGAAATGGAAAAAAACATAACTCAGATAAGCTTGTACTGGAATTAAGAATCATCCTTGCTGGCTTGAATTCAAGACACTGCAAATACTTTTTAAAAAAAAAAAGTTCTTCCCAAAGGTTCCCCAAATGCTGCCATATCATTGGCAAGTTCATTTTTAGGAAGTTATGCAAAGCACATCCAACATGTCATTTTTAGCAATCTCACTTTTGTTCTGAATAATACTCCGTTTGGCAAATCATCCTTAATTTTGTCATCAAACCATTTTCTTCACACTACACAAGTGGCATTAACATTTTATCACACACACCAGAATAGGTACTAGGCTACAATTTCATTACAGCTTTATGTTGAAGGAATATGCGTTAAAATAAACTGAAACATCATCCATCCTTCAAAACACACTGTTATGAACACAGGATATTAAGCCCATATTACTGTGAGGCATTTTCTGCAAGGGAAAAATCTGAGCTGAGGAATTATGTCCAGTAAGAAAATTAAACTGAGTAACAAGATAGCTCAAGAAAACCACTGAACACCTCCATTCCATCTGAGGATACAAGCAAATATCTTTTAGATATGTAAAGCTGATGGGGTAAGTCATAGACAAGTCCATAAGCAGACACTAAGAGGAACAGGCAAAGATCTACCCTTTACCATCCCTAATCCAAAACCTGAGGGATGTTGAGGGAGCATAAGAGGGCATGGACAGGCTTCTGTGCTTTCTTCATATGGCATCTCTTATGGTGCCACGACAAATCAAGTACTGTGCTAGATGGATGGATGGTCAGCTACTTTGATGCAGGAGGGTTCTTCTTTGGTTTTTAACATTTTAACCATAACCATCTACCCAAAATGCCTATCTGCTTCAATTGACTAACTAAAGACCTTACGAACCAAAAGTATTAACGCAGACTTTATTACTGTTACATATTGTAGCAAAGTTACTCTCAACAAGAACCTACGAAAATCCCAAATAGTAACCAAGAAAAAAAGAAAACTATATCCATCTTTCTCTGTTAATTTTGTAGCATTAAATAAAACAGGGCTAGTTTCAGTTATTGAAAGTTTCACCTGTTTTCCAATTAATTTGTTGCTAAAATACATTGAACCTTCATACAGATTCAAAGTCACACACAAAAAAGGACTACTACTAAAAGTATTTGTAATTAAGCATCGCAGTACCAATGCTGAGTTACATTTGCGATCACACTGTCTATAAACTTTCTCCACATAAACCCGGGAAAAGATCTTGTCCTTAGTCTTGCACCACACTCGCGGAGACTGACACTCCTACCAAATAACCAGGAAATACAATGGCGCCAAAATAACTTCAAATGCAGTTAAAACCCAGCTACTGAAGCGTCAAGAGAGCCCTTCCAGTTCCCCGGAGAGCTGACCACCACACACGCTGACCACCCACCGCTCCCTAAAGTGCCCAGTCCTCCTTCAGAGGCGTCCGTCCCTTCCCCGCCTCAAAAGGCAGGGAAAAAAAAAAAAGAGAAGAAGACGGCAGCCTCTGCTCAGAGCTAACCACTTCTGCCTGGTCACCTCGGGGCGGCCCTGACTGACAACGAGGGGGGCGGGAGAACCGCGCACCGCCCGCTCCCCTCAGGGGCGGCCAGGGGGAAGGCCAGGGGCTCCCCTGAGGGGACACGG